TAACGAAGCCTTTATTAACATGAAAGGAGCACAAGAGGTCATATGAGTATACATTGTTACAACAAAAAAAAGGGGTACACTTAGAACTATATAATTCTCTATATTGTAATCAGAGAAGAAAATGTCAGTTGGGAAACAGGTTATGCTTCCCCAAAATACTTGTATCCAAAATTTGACTTAGGGGCCTCAATACGCTACTCAAGAGCTTGGTCGTTAAAGATTCTCCTACCGTCTTTGGACCAACTTGAAATATTGCTAGGGCCTAACCTACCATTCTTCAATCTCTCATCTGGAATGTAGGGAAGCAGGTTATGTTTCCGCAAAATTCTTGGATCCCAAATTTTGCCTTTTGGGCTTCAATACTAAAGCTCTGGTCATTTGATCTTGCGTTAGCTATCATGGGAGCCTTGTTAGAACTTTGGTTGGGAATGATGCGTCTTTGACAATAAGTTGAAAGCTTGGGAATCTTTTTGGTATTTAATTCATTTGATGGGCTCAATTCATGTATTCTCTCACCTAGGGTTCACTAATTAGGATGTGATTCACATGGTCCTTGACAAAATACCCTTGTCACTGTGGGGATTCGAATTTGTGGTCTTCTGCACAGCCGGTGCTCCTCCTGGCATAGATGGTTGGATATCAATCTATGTGAGAACATCTTTATAGTGATTTGAACTCATCTAAAGTTTTCCACTCCAAACCACCGAAAGAAGTAGAGAGGGGCAGCTCACTTCCATTTGACTATGCTCTCTAATCACCTCTGTCAACGTCCTAGCAATCTTGACCGGAACTTTAAACAAGGAAAAGTTAATAGTCTGGGATGCTGGAAGTAATCGATTGAAATAGGGAGTTCTCCAGTATTACTGCAACAAAAGAAAAGGAAAGAAGAATTGGTTCCATAGATTTGAACAGAATGTCTTCCTCACCTTCTCCTCGTCATATAGGTGAATTATAGCAGGTCAGGTCCATTCCTATTAGAAGATTTGCTTAGATATTCCCAGATCCCCAATCTGATCCACGTTTCTTTCTTTCCTTATCAAAGATTATCTGGATGGAATTAGGTGATGTTTTCAGCAAAAATTGAGAGAGCTTATTTTATGTTTTCCTCTAATTTTGATGATTGCAGATATTTTCTTTATTGGCTGATGCACTAATTGAAATCCGTGAACAAGTATTGGTTGATGATCAGGTACACATCTTAGCATTCTGTCTCTGTTCAAATTATCCTAGTGAACTTTGATGTTCAAATTATCATAGTGAACTTTGACAATTGGAAATTCAATTGCAGGATAGCGAATGGGAGGATGCTGAGGCAGATGGTGTTTCAAGTGACGAAAACCTGCTTCTTGTCAATGCTGCATCACTCGGCAGACATACCCTTGATTATCTTCAAGAGATGGCAAAAGTATACGATGAGGTATGTTCAAAACATAATGAGTTTGATCTTTCCAGGATTTTCTTAATGTGTACTTCTAGTTTGGTTTGGTTACTATTATTTTCTATTAACATTTCAATTGATTTTAATATTATTAGTTTATTTATCAAATGCTTATATATGTACAGGAAGGTGATGAGTATGAAGATGACCTACTTACTGTATCTGATCCTCTTAATCAGGTATTAAATCTATTGCCTATATGTCAACGTAATGTAGTAAAAGATTATGATTATCTTGTCTGCAGTTTCAGTTCTTTTTCCTCACTTTTGCAGATTAATTTGGCAAAATATCTGGTGGACTTTTTTATGAACTTGTATCAGAATGACAGACAGAACTTTGATAATCTCTTCAAGGTTTTCTTTATACAAGTCAATCAGTTTGGAGCCTTTTACAGTAGTAGTTGCTGCTTTAGTTTTTTTAATTGAACACAATATTTTACCCTTGCTACTGCAGAGTCTGTCCCAGCCTCAACAGAATGCTATCCAAATGGTACTAAGTCGCTGAGTATCTTACCACTGGTGATTTTTTCGGGTTGTTAATTGCTATCCAATTCCAAATACAAGAATCAGTTTTGCACTCCCTCTTGCCGGCACGCCCCCTTTCTTCTTGGGGTTCTTTTATTGATGATGGTATTGGTTGTGGAGGTGGGAGAGGGGGAGGGACTTCCATGTGAATGTCAGCCTCATCAGTTTGGTTATTTTCTTTTTTAAAGTTTCCTTCATGTAAGTTATGCAGTATAGAGAACCCACCCATTTCAACTAGTTTTACTGCTTTGGTCTGTTTTACTGACCTTATAGAAAGGTGATGTTTTTACCACACTATCGCAGAGTCTGTTCCAAGTTTGTCAAAAGGCTGTTCAAGTGCTAGTCACTGTGGACGAGGAGTTTGCCATTTCTCAGGTGTGTCGTTGGCTTTCTAATTGATGCTCAAATTCCAGCTTGTCAATTTTTCAGCTTCCCTCCTTGCTGATATCCCCTTGCCCCCAATCACAGGAGCGAGAACCAAAAAAATCGTTGAGTGTTGTATATTAGGTCTTTTCTGGAGTATTCAATCATTCTTTTTAGATGTATCATTGTTAGCTAGCTTATGTTTTCTAGATGAAGAAGATATATGTAACTGTTATAAACTTTTATTATCTGTAAAAATAGAGAAAGGTTCGGCTGCTGATTGAATATTTGAGGAATATTTTTGTTCTTGATGACTTGCTCATTAGTATGGGTTGTTTGAACATTGTGTTGGATTTCTTGCAAGTTAATGAGATAAACAGAATGTTATTCGGTTATTAGGGTATTATAAGGATATTAAGGGTATATTAATACTTATATAGGAAAGCTGTTAGGGTGTGTGGTTATAAATAGAGGAGGCGAGGAAGAGAGAAATTAGACATTATTTTGGTGAGTGAATTAGGGCTTGAGAACGATCTCAAGAAGGAAAGGTCCTATTACCTTGAAACACTTGGTTTATCTTGTAGTTCTGATATTCTTTATATTTGAATACATTTGGATTCTATTATAAACAAGGGATAGTTTTGAAGTCAAACCCACAACTCATACAAGTTGGAGATAAGGATGCTGCACGGCCGTGATCGTGTGTTAGGCCCAAACAAGAACATTGAGCATTAAGCATTAACAAGCTTTGACGATTCTAGTTAGCCTGGATAAGGGAGTGTGATTGAAGAGGATTATGGATTGACCAATTATGAAGGCTTCTTCAGCAATATTTGCTCTTAGAATCTAAATTGGGCTTTCATTATTGAAACTTTTATCATTCAGTTGAGCTACATCTATCCATTATGACGCCAAACTGTTCTGCCCCACACGGGGCACCATTTATCTGTATTCAGATTGTGTCAGGTATGCAGGCACAACCACTGTGGTTGCGTTCTCTTTTCATTTTTTCAGGGTAGAACAGGAAGTCTTGAACTTGCTGATACTTCACGTTGGTGTATTGATATCTCTAATTTATTAAGGACGCTGCCCGTTGACAGAACATGGGCGGGTCATCTGCTAGATCTAGATCACATTCTCCTTTTCACCTGCTGGTATCATCACCTAATCCTTACCTGTAACTGTGGAAGGGTGGATAGTATTAAATTTATTTCTTGTGCCCCCTTCTCTGAAATGTTCATAGAAAAATAGCTTTTATAGAGCAACAAACTATGCTGCCAAATGTCGCTCATAAATTATGTTGGTAGATTTTAAGAAATGTTCTACATTTAGCAACAGATCTTCATGATGGGACACTGTGAATTATGGTTCGCACTTCCTATTTATGTGCCCCAAAAATGGGAGTAGCACCAAAAAGCTGAATAGTAGAAGCATGTAACAGGAATGGGCATCTTTTTTTATTCGACAGCAGCACAATCAATGGCGAGATATGTGCCAAGTGCCCGACAGCCCGTGCCCTCTCTTGTTGGTACTCTTTTTGCAGCCCCCCACTGACGCTTAGTGAAAAGGCCCAACCTTCGTGCACCTTTTATATTCGTTTGCAGGCATTAGTATATTGTAAATGGAATAGAAAAATGGAAGGAGGAAGACGGCATGTTGGTTGTCACCAAAATGCCACATTATGATAGCTTTGAAACCGAGCAATCTTGGACCTTCAACCGCAGTAGTTATTGGTGGTAGGCGTGGGAGAGCTTCACGTGGTGTGTTAAAGCAAGACCCAGGGCATTGACCTTGGCCCACCATCTCACTCCCTAACTTTTCAATCATCTGTGGCATAAAGAGATTCTTTCTTTATCTATGAATTCAATACCCAATGTGTTCATATTTACCCACTTGTGACATTTCTATATCAACTACCAGATTCCCTCTTGAGAATCTGATCAATTTAATACACTCACTTTTTAATGGTACTCAACAAACATTCAAAGATTTTATTACTTTACAATTTTTTAATTAAAATTGTTTAGAGGAAAGAATCGTGTTGGATGCTAGGATTTAGCATGCGATTTGAAATAAAAGTCAATGTTATATACTCATCAGGAAGATGGAATATGGAAATTTCGATTTCATTTAAGTTTTGCTTAATAGATGGATCTGTATCTCAGTCAAATGAGGTAATCGTCTCCATCATCAAGTCATATTGTTCACTATTTGCAATAGGGTGTAATCTGCTTGGACGTGATATTTATCAAAATTTATCCGTTCTTTAGCCGACAAAATTTAATGCCTTAGCTTACTTCTCTTTAGCCTTTCACTTTAGTTTCTTTATTTCATAGCGCTGCAAAGGCTGCCACCATAGACCTTTGGAGCTAAGCATCTTGTATTATGTTTTTCTGATTCAAAAGTCAAAATGATAATGATAATTACGCAACAAAATCTCTTTACTTTATACTGAAATTTCTAACTTTTTTGTTTAGTAACAACAAATGTCCGGTGACTTGAACAATAAAATGAAACTTGAAAAGGATTATAATATTGCATAATTATGATTATAATATTGATTTGAATATGAAGTGACGTAAATTACTGGATGAAAGCTCATTTTCCCATGTCAAGATGATTACTAGTATGCAGGAACGAGTCAATCAAATTTTTGTTCTTGTGTTCAGACATTGGACAAAATCTTCATATATTTTATGTTTTGGATTGCTAGCAAATTGCTCTGAAATTTTGGGACCCCACCAAGCCCTGTTCTTGGGAAAACTTTTCTTTCTTTTCGATGAATTCAGTTTCTGTTTCGATCCTCAGAGATGGAAAAGGTAAGGTTTCAGTTTTCATGTTCTTCTCCATCCCTATTTTGATGCTGTTGCTTCGCTGCATTTGCTTCTTCAATCTTCAGGAATCCATTGATGATACCCTCTGCGTCAACCTTTCCCTAATAGCTCCCCCAAATTGTCTGATAATCGAGCTCTTGTTCATAGTCGATTCTTTTTTGTAGGTTTGGTGGTGAATTTGATTGTTTCCATGTTAGTTCAAAGGCTGTGATGATCTGATTGTGCTTGAATTGAAGCTGGAGAATACTGTTTTGACTTGGCGGAGTTGTGTAATCTATGATTTTGGTATGAGGAGCTGAAACAGAGCACTGGATGATTCTGGTGATTGTGAAGTTTGTTTGATAAAATATCATCGGAGTTGGATTTGATCGGATTCAATTTGATCATGGGGTTGTTCTGAATTATGATTATCGCGCGAAATTTGCAGATTCAATGAGTTTCACCAAAAGCTGAAGTTTCCGTTTAAGTTGATCAACCCGGAATTTTGCTATTTTTACGTTTAAGCTTGTTTCTGTTTTTCCGAAAATGGCGGCTGTATCACCGGCGCCAAATTCAACTCCGTCGCCGGCTTCTCCCTCCACTCCATCTCCGCCGCAACAATCGCCTCCTCCGAATTCTTCTGACCCAGCAACCCCCACTTCGTCTCCTCCTCCGCCGCCGCCTGGGACCGTTCCGCCGGAAACTCCATCAGCTCCGCCCCCATCAGCACCGGACCCTCCACCATCAGCAACTCCCCCAGTTAGCTCCACTCCTCCAACGCCATCTAATCCCCCACCAAATTTATCTCCACCTCCTCAAACCCCTCCTCCACAATCATCAAAACCACCTGAAAATTCACCGCCGGTGCCACCACCACCACCACCACAAGCAAACCCGCCGGTTAATCCATCACCGCCGCCACAGCCCACAAACCCACCTGAGAAATCACCTCCTACGCCACCATCAACACCTCCAGTAACGTCACCTCCTTCCCCAGCGTCAATACCTCCTACAAACTCACCTCCTCCTTGTTGAACACAACTCACTGTGGGAAACACTCGCTCTCTTTATTAAGACCAATCGAGAAGAGAATACAAGACACTCTGTAGAATACTTCTGCTTTTTATTGTTTTTAGATTTCTTGGATGAATAACCTAGGTAGGGTGGGGGTATTTATACTAAGAGTAAACAATCTATATTTAACCAATCTAAATCTAGACCTAACCGATTTGAATCTAGACCTAACAAATTGAATCTTTCTCCTAAAATATCTACATCTCTTTCTCCTAAAATCTCTACTAAAATAAATATACTGGGCTCGTACAATTAGGCTTGACTCTATTGGGCTAGTACAATTATTGGGCTTGACTCTATTGGGCTAGTGATGATATTTCAACACTCCCCCTCAGCACTAGTCCTCATTCGCTGCATCATGTTGAGCTGACAGCGAAAGCTCTCATGTTTGCTAGTATTCAACCCTTTTGTAAACAAGTCTGCCACTTGGTCATCTGTCTTGATCTGCTGCATCTCAATTTCTTCCTTTAGGACCTTCTCTCTAATGAAATGGTAGTGCACCTCCACATGCTTTGTTCTAGCATGAAACACTGGATTTTCTGCAAGGCGAATCGCAGATTGGTTGTCGCAAAGAAGTGATATTGGATAGTCAATTTTCTGGTGCAAATCTTCCATCAAGAGTTTTAGCCATGTACTTTCCTGGGCTGCTCCAGCCGCTGCTCTATACTCTGCTTCTGTAGTTGATAATGATACTGTTGGTTGTCTCTTGCTACACCAAGAAATTGTTCCCGAACCAAACTTGAACACATACCCAGTGGTTGACCTCCGAGTATCGTGGTCTCCTGCATAGTCAGCATCACAGTATCCAACTAGCTTGCAGTCTTTGCTTCTTTTGTACAAAAGACCATAGTCGATTGTACCTTTGATATATCTCAAGATCCGTCGAGCTGCATCCAGATGAGGCTTCTTTGGACTTTGCATGTATCGACTCATAACCCCAACTGCATACGAGATATCAGGTCGAGTTAAAGTTAGGTAGATAAGACTACCTACTAGTTGTCGGTACGTTGTTTCATCGTTCAACTCTTTGCCTTCATGTGCACAAATCTTGGCATTTATCTCCATCGGTGTTGAAACTTGCTTGCACTCTAACATGTTGAACTTCTGAAGCATGTCTCTGGTATACTTTTGTTGGCAGAGAAACAGTCCTTCATCTGTGCGATCAACTTCTAGGCCTAAGAAGTGTTTAAGCTCTCCTAGCTCTTTCATCTGAAAGCGTATTGATAAATTTTCTCTTGTTTGATAAATTTCTCTTTCATCGTCCCCGGTGATAATCAAATCGTCCACGTAGACCAACACAATTGTCAAATTTCCTTCTCTTTCTTTGATGAATAGGCTTGAGTCTGCATGCGCAACTGAATAACCACTTTGGGTAAGAAATTCAGCAATCTTACCATACCAAGCTCTCGGTGCTTGTTTCAGTCCATAAAGAGCTTTTCTAAGCTTGCATACATAATTAGGATTAGCTGCACTCTCAAATCCCTTTGGTTGGTTCATATAAATCTCCCTGTCTAGCTCTCCGTGCAAGAAGGCATTCTTCACATCCATTTGCCACAGTTTCCAATCTTTACTTGCTGCGAGTGCTAGCAGAACTCGTACGGTAGTAATCTTTGCCACTGGACTGAATGTTTCATCATAATCTAGTCCATATTGTTGAGAAAATCCTCGAGCCACGAGTCGAGCCTTGTATCTCTCGATTGATCCATCCGGTCGACGCTTTATTTTATAGACCCACTTGCAAGAGACGGGTTTGATATCTCCTAGTCTTGGCACTAGTTCCCAAGTTTGATTATGCTCCAAGGCTATAATTTCTTCCTCCATCGCTTTCTGCCAAACCGAGTTTTGTGATGCTTCTTCATATGTCTCTGGTTCGTAAACTCTATCTTCTACAATAGCTGCATTTGCATACTTAGGATTTGGCCTTCGGATTCTATTTGATCGCCTAAGTTGTTGATGTGTTGTTTCATTTTTATCAGATTCGCTTGATTGAGTCACCTCCTGCTTGTCAATATCAATGTCGCTTGGATTTTCAGATGCATCGAAATTTGATTGAATTTGTGTAGTTTGCTCCCCCAGCTTCTGTTGTAGAATTTCTTCAATGTTTGAATCTGATAAGACTTTCTTCTCCGAGGACCACCATGTAGATGCTTCATCAAAAACTACATCTCTTGATGTATAGTATTTTCCACTTGTTGGATCACAGCACCTCCATCCTTTTCTTTGATTGTCGTATCCAACAAATACACACTTGACTGCTTTCTTGTCAAACTTGCTACGTAGATGGTCAGGCACAAATACATAGCAAACACAGCCAAATACTCGGAAGTAACTAATTGTAGGTTTCATATCCCATAGTATCTCAAATGGTGAGACGAACCCTAGCTTTGGTTGAGGAAGCTTGTTGATCACATGGGCAGCAGTTCGCATAGCTTCAGCCCAAAATCTTCCTGGAACGTTCTTTGCGTGTAACATGCTTCGACAGGTTTCTGCAAGGTGTCGATTCTTTCTTTCTGCTACACCATTTTGTTGTGGCGTGTTGGCACATGTAAATTGACGTCGTATCCCACACTCGTGTAAATATTGATCGAACTCATCTGACGTGTATTCTCCGCCATTGTCTGAACGTAGACAACGAATCTTCGCTCCTACTTCTCCTTCGACCATCATCTTGAATTCTTGAAACTTTGAGAACGTGTCAGACTTTTCTTTCATAAAGAAAATCCACACATATCTTGAGTAGTCGTCAATAAATGTCACCATATACCGCATTCCGCTGATCGATGCTTGTTTGACTGGGCCGAACAAATCAGAGTGAACTAACTCTAATGGTTTCTTTGCTTTGAAACTTGACTCTTTGTATGGTAATTGATGAGCTTTACCATACTGACATCCAGCGCAGACAACGTCTGTTTTGACTTCCAGTTGTGGTAGACCTTTGAGCATAGATTTCTCCATAATCAGCTTCAACTTATGGTAGCTAATATGTCCCAATCTTGCATGCCATAGATCTGTCGTCTCATTCTTTCGGGTCTTGTCAACATAGGCAGACTCTGCAGATAGAACGTAGACAGACTCCACTCTTCGTCCTTCTATCGTCGGCTTTCCTATTATCTTAACATCTTGATAAACTTTTACATCTTCTGGCCCAAACAAGACATAGCTTCCTGATGTTGTTAGTTGTGACACTGACAACAAGTTCTTCTTTATACCCGGTACATGATAAACATTATGTAGCGACACTGTATCAGACTTATTGCCAGGCATGATTGTCGTATTGCCGATTTGAGCAATTGATAACTGTGTGTTATTTGCTGTACGTACCATACGACTTCCTTTGTACTCTTTCTTGTCTTGCAATTTTCTCTGATCGCCAGTCATGTGATTTGAACATCCTGAATCAACGATCCAGTCATTCTCATAGTTGATATGGTCTTCCATTGTCGCCATGAGTGCTAGCTCGTCTTCTTCTATGGGACATAGTACCTCTGCATCCCATTCATCTTCTATCTTCTTTTTGGATATTGCCACATTGTTTTCAATGGTCTTTTTCCTGGACCAACAATCTCTAGACATATGGCCCTTTTTCCCGCAGTTATAGCAAATACCACCAAATCTCGTTCTTTGAAAACTCTTGTTGTCGTTCTTCTGAGCTCTCTCAGGTTGTGCAATCCCTTGGTGGCTTCTTCTTTTGTCACCATTGTATCCACGTCTGGTAGACGGCCTATTATTGCTCTGACTTTCACTCGTGTAGAGTGCTTCTTCACCCTTCAACGTGAAGCCTCCCATTTGTTTAGCCATGGCTTCTTGGCTGGCTAACAAATTTTCGAACTCTACCAGTGATGGTTGAGTGGGCCATCCTTGTACAGCAGCAATGAAGCTTCGATATTCTGGTCGCAATCCGTGGATTATAATCCTCTTCATTCGAGATTCTACAATGGCGGACTTTGGGTCTAGTTCAGTAATCTCCCGACAGATCGATTTGACCTTGTGGAAGTACTGAGCAATCGTCATATCACGTTGTGAAATTGACAACAACTCATTCTCCAGAAGTTGTAGTCTCGTATCATTCTTCTTTGAGAACAACATCACGAATGTGTCCCATGCTTCTTTCGGTGTCTTGTCATCCCAAATATGTTCTAACATCTCTTCTCCGATGGTGGTCTTCAAGGCAAACATTGCTTTGCCTGCTTTGATTCTCCATTTGCGCAAGGCGTCGTTAGAATCCTCCTCTGGCGGCGTAGTTTCACACCCGCCAACGATCTCCCAAAGATCCTGTCCTTGTAAATAGGACATCATGCATGTTGCCCACGTGTTGTAGTTGTTGTTGTTGAGTTTCTTAATTCCTCCAACGATTTGGAAATCACTCATCGTGTTGGCCATACCTCAGTAATACCAAACAAGTTCTTTTGACACAAGACTTGCAGAGTCACAGACTTCTCACGACACAAAAGAAACTCACTCACCACTAATCTCAAGAAATCGTTTCTGATGTGGAAGATCAGGCAGAGCTGCAACCACAGAGCATACTAAGGATTCCAAGAGATCAGATAACCTACACTAACCTCGCTCTGATACCAAATGTTGAACACAACTCACTGTGGGAAACACTCGCTCTCTTTATTAAGACCAATCGAGAAGAGAATACAAGACACTCTGTAGAATACTTCTGCTTTTTATTGTTTTTAGATTTCTTGGATGAATAACCTAGGTAGGGTGGGGGTATTTATACTAAGAGTAAACAATCTATATTTAACCAATCTAAATCTAGACCTAACCGATTTGAATCTAGACCTAACAAATTGAATCTTTCTCCTAAAATATCTACATCTCTTTCTCCTAAAATCTCTACTAAAATAAATATACTGGGCTCGTACAATTAGGCTTGACTCTATTGGGCTAGTACAATTATTGGGCTTGACTCTATTGGGCTAGTGATGATATTTCACCTCCTCCTCCCGTTGAACCCTCACCTTCAAGTCCTCCTCCCAAGTCATCACCGCCCCCATCTCCCCCACCTCCGCCGTTGCGTCTTTCTCCTCCATCACCGTCTAAGCCCCCAACATTGCCATCAGGAAATCGCACGGACGATGGTTCTGGTCTTAATGACAGAGTTAACTCGAATTCCAACAGCAATGGAGGAATCAATACAGGGGTTGTGGTCGCAATAGGCGTAGTGGCTGGAATTATAATGCTTTCCATAATTGGGTTTGCAGTATGGTACATGAGGAAGCCAAGGAAAAATGATACCGGGCATGGGGGCATTATGCCATCCTCTCTCAGCTCCTCTCCTAAGTCGGGTACTGCAATGTAAATATTGTTTCTTTGCATTATCTTGGTCCTCTTTTTTTCTGAAACATTTGTGATTAGCTTCCTGCCTGATAATTTATTGGGATTTCCATTCTTTTTCGTAGAATCATCCCTTATGAAGGTCCATTCCACAGTTCATCAAAACATCCATGCCAGTGGCAGTGGCAGTGGCAGTGGCAGTGGCGGTGGCGGTGGCGGTGGCGGTGGCAGTGGTGGAATATACACTCCAAGAGAGCTTGGTGGGTTGGGCAGTTCGAGGCCATTGTTTACATATGAAGAACTCTTCAAAGCAACAAATGCCTTTTCTGCGCAGAACCTTTTGGGAGAAGGCGGGTTTGGTTCTGTTTATAAAGGATATCTACCAGATGGAAGAGAGGTTGCAGTGAAGGAGCTAAAGATTGGTGGTGGGCAGGGCGAGCAGGAATTCAAAGCTGAAGTTGAGATTATTGGCCGTGTTCACCACCGCCACTTGGTTTCTCTTGTCGGCTATTGCATTTCAGAGCATCAAAGGTTGCTTGTCTATGATTATGTGCCTAATAACTCCCTCTACTACCATCTTCATCTTAAAGGTACTATGGTTTTGGACTTCTTGACTGGTTAGCATAGTAAGGAAAACTTAATTTTAAGCTCTTTTTCCACATTAGGGGATGGTGAGCTCGTTCTGGAATGGGCAAAACGCTATAAGATAGCAGCTGGTGCAGCACGGGGAATTGCATATCTTCATGAAGACTGTAAGTTTCTGTGTCTTTTCCTGTAGAGCCAGCTGATTGATGTCAACGCTAAGACCGACGATTTCGTTTATGTCAGGCCATCCTCGAATCATCCACCGTGATATCAAATCTTCGAACATTCTTCTAGACAAAAATTTCGAAGCTCGGGTATGCTCGAAGTTTCATAATCTATGCTGAAATGCTTAGCTTATAGGTGTATGCTTCATGCTTTTATTGGCTATCACGCAGGTTTCAGACTTTGGGCTTGCTAAGTTAGCTCTGGATGAACAAACTCATATAACTACCCGTGTTGTGGGAACTTTTGGGTAGGTAGTTTATGATTGTTGGTACCACAGCCTCTCAGGATCCTTGTCTTTGAAATCTATATTTCTTGCAGATATGTTGCCCCTGAATATGCATCGAGCGGAAAGTTAACTGAGCGATCAGATGTATATTCTTTCGGAGTTGTACTTCTCGAGCTGATTACGGGTCGGAAGGCTGTGGACTCGTCCCAACCAATGGGGGATGAGAGCCTTGTTGAATGGGTAATCTATTCATGCTTCTCTTGTATGTTTTCACTGATATGGATATGATGATGCAACCAACCTATCAAATTTTCTTATAATGTTAGAGAGCCCAATAACGATATTGTCCTCTTTGAGCTTTTCCTTCTAGGCTTCCCTTCAAGGTTTTAAAATGTGTCTTCGAGGGGAGGTTTCCACACCCTTACAAGGAATGTTTCGTTCTCCTCACTGATGTGGGATCTCACAATCCACCCCCTTAGAGGCCCAACTTCCTCGCTGGCACACCGTCCAGAGTCTGGCTCTGATATCATTTATAACAGCCCAAGTCTATCACTAGCCAATATTGTTCTCTTTGGACTTTCCTTCTGGGTTTCCTCTCAAGGTTTTAAAATGCGTCTACTAGAGATAGGTTTCCACACCCTCATAAGGAATGTTTCGTTCCCCTCTCCAACCGATATGGGATCTCACAATCCACCCTTCTTAGGAGCCCAACGTCCTCGCTGGCACATCGCTCGGTGCTTGACTCTGATATCATTTATAACAGTCCAAGCCCACCGTTAGCATATATTGTCCATTGGGCTTTCCTTTCTGGCTTTTTCTCAAAGTTTTGAAGCGCGTCTACTAGGGAGAGGTTTCCATACCCTTAGAAGGAATGTTTTGTTCCCCTCTCCAACCGACTAAGATCACACATATGGATTCATATGAAGCATGAATGTCCTCACTATAATTGTGAATGGTTTGAAAAAACATGTATCTTATTTTAGCATTAGCAACTCAAATCAAGCTTTCCGGACAATGTTCTCATCTTTCAGGCTCGGCCTTTACTAAACCACGCACTCAACAACAGCCAAGACTCCAAAAACTTGGTGGATCCTAGGCTTGAAAGGAACTATATAGAGAGTGAAATGTTGAGGATGATAGGAATAGCTGCTGCTTGCGTGCGCCATGCATCTGCCAAGAGACCACACATGGGACAGGTTGTGTTTTTGCTACTGATTCATAATAACCTGAAATTCATAATTGTTCATCTTTCACAGTACTGTAACAGAAATGTTCTTCTCATTATCTCATTCTCAGGTTGTTAGAGCTTTTGATAGTTTAGGCACTGCAGATTTAAGCAATGGAATGAGATTTGGGGAGAGTCAAGCTTTCGACTCCGGTCAACAATCTGCCGAGCTTAGATTTTTCCGAATGCTGGCGTTCGGTAACCAAGATTACAGTTCAGAATTCTATAGCCAAGGTAGCTCAAATGCCTGATTGAAGAGGAGATTTTGTAGATATGATATAGAGTGGGGAAATATGTTGCTTTTTTCCAGGAAGGCTTTTTTCCATGCCCACTGGAACTCAGGTTGATACCAAGAGCACCTTCTTCATGTTCATGTAAGTAGTACAGATGAATGAACAATCCCCCAATTCATGCTCAATAGAGATGCCATTATTCATACATAAATCATATTACTTAATATACTTCCTTATCTTTTTGGCAAGTGGACATACAGCCTCGTGCATAGTCTGTCGGGTATATGTTTGATACCAAATTTGGTGAACTTTCATCTTCTATATAAACACGGGCTTAACTCTCGAACCGCATGTCGAAATTCATATCCAAACTTCGATTTTTGAGGTTATGATCTGTAACTGCTAGCAGATATTGTCCTGTTTGAGCTTTCCCTTTTGGGTCTTTGTTCCATTTAGATTGGGTTTTTGTGGGGTTTCAGCTATCTATTTTGCCAGCAGAGAGGAGAGAAAGTTGAATCTTTGTGCATCAGGACTCATGGTTTAAATGAACATCTCTGGCAGTCGGACTCTTAACTCGAGAGCCGCCACAAGTCCAAAGAATATAGAGCTTCGGCCCATTTTATGCTTGGACCAACGATCAGGCCGGCCCAGTAGTAAGATCAGAATTTGGATCATATAGTTATTATAGCTTTATATTTATATATAAAATAAGAAAAAGAAAATAGAGGAAAGTAAATATCAAATTCAAGTGGACGGAGGCTCCGAAAAGTCAATAGATCTTGCATTGAATAATATATATATAATAATAAAGTAAATAAGCATTGAGTTCTTCCTTTTTGTATCCAACTTCCAAAGAACGCGGTTTGTTCATTCAAGTTTGAACAGTTTCCCTTTCAATTCTGTCATCAAACCAAAGGAAAGCCCCACACCTGTACCTCACCCATCTCTCCGATTCCCAAATTCCCTAACCTCGACCAACTCCTCCCCGTGGATCCTCTCGAATCGCGAATCCATGGCTTCTATGCAATCCGATCAGCTCAAGCAGCTGCACGACATTTTCAGGCGCTTCGACATGAACTCCGACGGTAGCCTCACGCAGCTCGAGCTTGGCGCCCTCCTCCGCTCCCTCGGCATCAAGCCCTCCGGCGACCAACTCCATTCTCTCCTCTCCAATATGGATTCCAACGGCAACGGCTCCATCGAATTCGACGAATTGGTCAATGCGATTCTCCCCGATTTAAACGACAATATTCTCGTCAATCAAGAGCAGTTGATGGAGGTTTTCAAATCCTTTGATCGTGACGGCAATGGCTTCATCACTGCCTCCGAGCTCGCCGGTTCCATGGCTAAGATGGGTCATCCTCTGTCCTACCGCGAACTTTCCGAGATGATGCGGCAGGCCGACACCGACGGCGATGGCGTAATTAGCTTCAACGAATTCACCACCGTCATGGCCAGGTCCGCCGCAGATTTTCTCGGCCTTACATTTGCGTAGATCGTGTTCATTCACAATTTGATTCCCCTTCTTTAGATGTACATAGCACGGTATAATTACCATCTGATCTTAGTCGCTGTTCGTTTCCAGTAATTAATTTCTTCATAAGCTTTTGGTGCAGCTCTGATGTGAGGAAAACAAGAAAGAAAAAACAAAAGAACAATCCCAACTGTGCTTGTAGTGTCAATGTTTCAATTCTATATTTGATCTTTCAACTTGCTTCCTGTACTGTATTTGCCCCAATATTCTATATATTACATTATATTCGTGTTATTCTTATAGTTCTATTACTCTTGTGAGTGTTTGATTTGGTATTTTTATTCAATTTTTTTTTTCCAGAATCACAAAATTGGTACCTATAGTTTGGAGAAAGTGATGAACTATTCTTTCGATCTAAAAGTTCGAATTTCATTCTTATGGTTTGATAAGATCTCTCATAAACAGTCCGAGAAGAAGAAGTCACTAATGAATTGAATACTAACATAACAAAACTTTGAGATGTATTAAAAAGCATTATTAGGTTGCTGTTGCTAATTAGCTGGTTGATTACCAAACTTGACTTTAAAATGAATGTCTAATCTTGCTAGGTGTTCCTCACATGATTTTAGATGCCTTCAACAACTGTTCTTTTGTCATTTGGTACTTTTTTCTGTCTTACTCTCATGTCCTGTCTATCATACATGCTGGACTTTGGGCATTTGAATATTCAACTTTCATCGAAGGTTGAAACTTCAAGGTTGGCCTAAGACATGATATGCTTAATAGATATGTCACTCAGAAACCTATTTAATACTCTAAGGACTCTCATTAGTTGTGAAGCTTAGAGAGTTAAATCGATTATCGTATAAACGTCGAGTCGTATATTTGACAGAGGATCTGCTATTATGTTCTTTATTTTTGTTGCTTGAACTAATCTTTATCTAATCCTACAATGAATTCCCTCACTTTTTTAATGTACACAAGAACTTGGAGTGATGCTTCTTCTGTATTTTCTTGGGACATGCTATGTTGGTTCATGTCAGATTTGTCCAAGAGCAAGAAAACAGCATCATATTCAATGGTTTCATCTGTTTTAAGTGGCACCTTTTGGCTGCTAACCGTGCGGTGGAACCCATGCTCGTTGATCAGGAGCTGTTGACCTCAAAAGATCACAGTACTCTTGGTTTTCCAGCTGACCTTCATTCCTAATCCATAAAATCATTTGATGATACATAGGAAGGAACCTCATCTGTATCGCTGAGTAGGAGAAGTAAGGAATGAGTGTTGAGATCACCACAAATAAAAGCACAAGCCAGTAGGAAGGGCCAGGGGCAAGGACTTCAATGAAGATCTTGTAACCATTGGTTGAAAACGTGGGGGTCATGGACCCATAGATCAGGAGAAAAATGTACCAGATCGAAACCGAACCCCAGATGAAAAGATGTTGTATCAAGGTGAAGTAACTAACAGCAAGCGCCATTTGCAAGTTCACGACCCAAACAACACAGGAGTACATCGTTGCACCCAGTATATCCCGCCCTGCAGTTCTCCCGTCGGAGTTGAACGCCTGATACTCGAGCGCTCGAGTGCATAGGGAGAAAATGATCACAGCACTGCACAGTCCATTAAACATCCAACTGAGAATTCGGACCCAGCTGAATAGAACATTCTGCACCCCTTGTTGGTATAAGAGAGGAAACTGCCACATCAAACAAAGAGATGAAGCCTAAAATTTGACCATTTTTTCTCAGATTTATCAGCAACAAGAACATACCTGGAGGCAGAGTCTTGCAGAGACATCTTGATCAAAAACGCCCAAAGCTACCACTGGAAGTGACGAGAAGAAAACATTGTAAAGCGATAAAAACCAATCGTTATATGCAGGCTGCCCAGAGAATGATGTGAATGCTTCGTATAAGAATATTGTAAAACCAAAAGTAATGTTCTTGTAGAAAAAGTAGCAAATCTGCAAATCCATAGGCAAAACTCATCAATCTCAAAGAGAGAAACTTATGAAACATGATGTTTTCTGAATCCAGATGTATAAACTGCATTACCATTGATGATATCCTTCTGTAGCACCAATGTCCATGAACAAGAAGCAAGTGCTCTAGATATTTGAACTGCGCTATCGCAACGTCGCTCGACATAACGGCCTGGGTAGACATATGAAAGAACTAGTTAATATTTGAAGAATTTGAATCATCAAAACATATGGGTCGTCTGCGTTCTTCAGCACCTGCATTCCTTCAACACCGCTAATTCCAACTCCAATGTCTGCTTCTTGAAGCATTCCGACATCGTTGGCACCATCACCGATAGCTAAAGTTGTTTTCTGTGTTCCACATTTAACTAACCTCGTTACCTGCCACCGTGAATGAGAATCGAGTCGATATCTTTTTAGATGTGATTTTTAAGCCAAAATAAAGAGTAAGAGTAGGAAAACCAACCAGTGCCTTCTGTTTTGGAGATGAACGGCAGCAAATAACAGAAGCACAATGTATTGCTACCTCGAGAAACAATGCCTTCATGCTGTCCTCTAAAGCATAAGAAAGTGATTTTCCATCAATGATTAATGCAAATGCTTCAGATATCCCACTTGGTGAAGAGATCTGAGCTCTCCCTCGAGTAATTTGATCGAGGACGCTTTGCCTTGATGCCTAAAAGATTATCAAAAAGATTCCACCACAGGGAAGGAAGAGCGTCAATTGATGCTTAAAGATGGTAGATATTGTCCGTTTTGGCCCGTGCGTGTCGCCATCGGCCTCACGGTTTTAAAACTCATCTACTAGGGAGAGGCTTCCACACCCTTATAAATTATGCTTCATTCCCTTCTCCAACTAATGTGGGATCTCATAATCTACCCCCCTTGGGGCCAGCGTCCTCGCTAGCACACCGCCCGGTGTCTGGCTCTAATACCATTTGTAACAACCAAGCCCACCGTTAGTAGATATTGTCCCTTTTAGCCCGTTACGTATCACCGTCAACCTCACGGTTTTAAAACGCGTCTACTAGGGAGAGGTTTCCATACCCTTATAAGAAATGTTTCATTCCCCTCTTCAACCAATGTAGGATCTCACAATCCACCCCACTCGGGAGACACCACCCGGTGTCCGGCTCTAATACCATTTGTAACAACCCAAGCCCACCGCTATTAGATATTATCCACTTTAACTCGTAATGTATAGCCGTCAGCCTCACGGTTTTAAAACCCGTCTACTAGGGAGAAGTTTCCACACCCTTATAAGAAATGTTTCGTTCTCCTCTCCAACCAATGTAAGATCTCACACTTTCCTTTCTATTGTACACTTAACGAGGAATGAGTATATATTCACCTTGATGACAGAAGCCTTATCCCCCGTTTTCTCCAACGCCTGAATTTCCGACGTCTCGAGAGTAATTACAATCTGCTTCATATCTTGTCTCAGTAATCTACATGCAAAACTGCAATTTTAAGCTCAAGAGTTAGTATAAATCCAGATATGATACAACTAGGACACAAATGAACATTTCAGCTCAGGAAAACAAGTATCCATCCGTACCCAATATTGATAGCAGTCTCCATTTTGTCCCCAGTCAATACCCAAATCTTTATTCCAGCTTGAGCAAGCCTATCAATGCACTCAGGAACCTAAAACCAAAAACATGAAGAACCATCAGTTCCAAGTCCTTCAATAGCAGTAGTTCCCCATTATGAACTCATAACACTTCTCAACTCACCCCATTTTGAAGCTTGTCTTCAACAGCAGTGGCA